CTTTGTCCGTGAATTTTTCTCGCATTTATTTCGTTGAAAAGAGTCATGAGGACGAAGGAATTAAAAATGACAGTGAAATGTTGGGTTGGACCACCTGTGGACTCCCCATGCCGACCTGACTCGATGTCCAGCATCTTGTCACCTTTTTTTTTTTTTTTTTTTTTTTTTTTTTAAAAAAATTTATCAATTAATTTATATTTACAAAGTTTATTTTGGTTTTATCATAGAGTAATGAGTTTACTTACCGGCAAATAAAAGCGTAAATATAACAGTGAGTTGGTACATGGCTTGTCCGAGTATGTTTTTCATCATTGTTCTTGAAATTAGGGGTTTTGTTCTGCCGTACGGTTTTCTTAAAAGAAGGTCTGCTGTTGGCATTTCCGTAGCCAAAGCAAGGGAAGCAAGTGTGTCCATAATTAAATTTACCCATAACATTTGTACAGCCTGGACAAAAAAAAATTAAATTATAAATAAAATGACGCGAGCGTAAATTTCGCAAATTTTTTGTTTTTTGATTGTTGTTGATGATAATTCATTTACCTTAAGCGGGCTGTCTTGAACGGCGCAAGAGCCGATAAAGGCGACTATCACTGCAACTACATTAACTGTAAGCTGAAATTGTAAAAATTTAGCAATACTATCGTACACGTTTCTTCCCCACAGCACAGCTTTAACAATGCTTGAGAAATTGTCATCTGTTAAAATGATGTCTGAGGCCTCTTTGGCAACGTCAGTGCCGGCAATACCCTAAAGTAAAAATTATGGCATGTCATAAAAAAAAGTAATAATTTTTTTTTTTACTGTTATGGGAATTTTATTTAATTTTACCATAGCAAAGCCGACGTCGGCTTTTTTAAGAGCTGGACCATCATTGGTTCCATCGCCAGTAACAGCGACCACTTCTCGGGCGTCACTAATTTTACTATCTATAATACCTTTAACAAGAGTGTACTTATCCGTTGGAGAAGAACGAGCTAACACTCGGAGTTTTGGCCAAACTTTGTCTAAAAGATGTTGCTGAACCTTAAAGGAAAAATTTTAAAAACAACTTGAGTAAATTCTTCAAACATTAAAAAATGTTTTTTAGGTCACCATTGTTAATAACTTACTTCTCCATTAGAATCACGGATTCTCCTGTTAAATTCTTTTCCTTCCAAAATTAGAAAATCATCTCCGGGTTTAAGAATACCACATTTGGAAGCTATCGATCTAGCTGTATTGATGTTGTCACCTGTAACCATTCGTACCGTGATACCCGCGCGTTGGCACTTACGAATAGCCTCGGGTACCTAAAATATTCAAATGATTTCATTTAAAGAAACCTCTCAAAATTTAACAGGACCGTATAAAGAGTTTAAAAATAAATAAAAAAAAAACTATTTACCTCTGGCCGAACGGGATCTTCTATACCTACGACTGCTATGCAAGTAAGATTCGAAACTATAAATTCTTCGTCGTCCCAATTGGGTTCAGATTCTATGTGAACTTCATTAATTTGAGCTTTTCCAGGAACGAAATCCCTGTAGGCTATTGAAATCGTTCGAAGGCCGTCGCAAGCAAGAGGTTCAATAACTTGTCTAACCAACCTTTCCTGCATGTCTTTTGTAAACATTTCTAAATTACCATCACGGCCGTAAATAAATGAACACCTGCGAATTCAAACGTTAAATAAATTCTTGGGAAATTCTTTTTCGGGTAAAATAAAAAAAAATTTTCAACGACATTTACTTTTTCATGATAATCTCCGAAGCTCCTTTACAGAACAATCGGTAACCACCGCCTTGTCTGGGTACGACCGTACTCATGCTCTTCCTCACTGAATTAAATGTGTATACTCTCGTAAACATTTCTTCAGGCATGTCATCACGAATTGTCTGATAGTTTTTATTCAAAGCTTGAACAAAACCTAACAGGGCACATTCTGTTTTGTTACCGACCTGTTTGGCGAGCTCCGTCGGATCTTCCGAAGGCTGTAAACATTTTAATTTAATTCAGTGAGTATATCGGTAAGTAGACGGTAGACATTAATTTTAAAATAACAATTATCAATTACCATAATTCGAGAAGTGTAAGCAGAATTGATTGCTATAGCTTGTAATAATAAATTTCCAACATTTTGCGGAATGTCACTGAACTTCGGAGTTGTTTTGGATAATTTTTCGCAAATGTAAGAGTTTACGACTGTCATACGATTTGTAGTAAGAGTTCCCGTTTTGTCCGAACAAATAGCCGTTGCGTTACCCATCGTCTCACAAGCATCCAAATGCCTCACCAAATTGTTGTCCTTCATCATTTTTTTGACGGAATACGCAAGGGACAGTGTGACGGCCAACGGGAGACCCTCTGGGACGGCGACTACAAGTACAGTCACTCCAATAATTAAATGTCGAACCAACTCGCTTGCGTATTTGCTTTCCCACGGTTTTTCTTCGATGACAAATGTTTTGACGCAAAATTGCGTCACTAAAATGACAACCGTCAAAACGGCAATCGTCGAACCTTTACGAAGAATGAAAAATAAAAAAAACGATTTCGTCATGATCATTCAAAAAAAAAAAAAAAAAAAAAATTAATCAAAAATGGAGGCATTTTTGTTCGGACCTGCGTAACCGATTTGTATGGCGAGCTTTGTCAACTTGGCTTGAAGTACAGATTTTTCTTTTTTATGAGGCTCGTGAGCACGTTCGGATTGCGGTTTATGATTTTCTTGTGGAAGATTACTCTTATCCAAAGGTAATGAGGATGGAACATTTTGATGACTGTTTCCGGTCACGCCAGATTCTTCGTCGACAACAGCTGAAATATTCATAAAAAAAAATTAAGTTTAAAAAAAATAAAATAAAATAAAAACTTAATAAAAATCTCAATCGCATTTCCATAATTTTCTTTTTTTTAAACATTTTTAAAATTAAAAAAAAAAAAAAAAGTCTTAATTAATTCATGTAATCATTTCCGGTACAAAAAAAAAAAAAAAAAAAAATTACGAACGTCAGTGTTAACTACTATTCTCTACATTTTAAAGCCTACATTTTTACCCATCGAATTTAAAAAAAAAAAAAAAACAAAAAAAAACAATAATAATAATGATGATGATAATAATAAAAAATTTAAGCATTTATTGCCAGAACCTTGAATATATATGTATCTTACACCTGGTGTGAATACAAATTATGTGAACGATGATTGATTTTTATATAAATAAATATAATTAAATCTTTCTCTCACTACACATGCAAACAAACAAAAATGACTTGTTTTTTATTATTATTATTATTATTTTATTACTGTTAGATTAATAAACATATTACACTACAGCAATTATGTTAAAACAAATAAACGAAAGAATAAAACAAAAAAAAAAAAAAAAATCATTTCATCATTTTTAACTTTTTACACATCCCCGAATTGAAAAATAAATAAATAAAAAATAAAATAAAAGAAAACCTTTATAAATAACCTTTTAAACAAATACCAGGTGCGAAAATATAAAAAACAATTTATTTTCAATATAAAACTAATAAAAAATAATAGAAAAAAAGAAAGGTAACAATATTAACGATCCATTTTTTTTTTTTTTTCTTTTTTTTTTTTTTTAATTTTATCGTTTTCACAATTTAAGTCAAAAAAAAAAAAAAATTGGACTTGACTCCATCTTTACGAAATAATAATTATTATTTAAATATCATTATTATTAATAAAATAAAATAAAAAAAATGTCAAATTATTTCAAATAATTATTTAATATTGTTACTCTCTTTATTTATAATATTTAAATGAAAACAAAAGCCTAAAGTGAAATTACCCAATGAATGATTGAATGAATGATTGATTGATTAAATTAATTATAACGATCTACGACACTACAAAAAAAAAAAAATAAATAAATAAATTCAACCATTTTAATTTACCATACTCCCTGTTTTCATTATCATTATCAGTATCATTATTATTATTATTATCGAGTTCCTCCCGTCATTAAAATAACATTAAAATAACTATATAAAGTAATAATAATTTAAAAAAAAATTTTTTTTTTTTTTTTGTTATTATTCGAATCGTACCAACAAACAATACATAAATAAATAAATAAAAAAAAAATCATTTGTTATAGGTTTTAACAATAAATGCCGACCTGAACTTAAATTATTATTAATAAAAATAAAATAAAAATAAATAACAATTCACCTGCTGAGGTCTTTTTTTTCTTCTTCTGCTTTTTGGCCTCTGAGGAAGGAGACGAACGGAGCGCATGCGATGCAAAAAGGAAGCATTCATTAGTCAAAAACAATTAAAAAAAAAATCTAATCGTACTTAATAAATAAATAAATAAATTTTCTTTTGATTTTATACAAAGAATAAAGAATAAAAAAAAAATTATACGTATGTATATGAAAAACATTTTAAGCAAAAATAAAATAAATAAAATTAAAAGAAAGAAAAATTTTCGAGAGAAATGTTTTACATTTTTTTCACATCGAAATCAAATTAATAATAATCAAACAAATTTAAACAAAACTTTTTTGTGTGTGTGTGTGTGTGCGTAACACACACACAATCGTTGATTGATTGAAACGTTAAAAAAATTTCAATTTTTATTTTTAAATTCGATTTTTTTGGAAAACGCAAAAAAAAATGTAAAACAATTTTGCCCCTCTCAACTTTTCCATAAAAAAAAAAAAATAATATTAATAATTAAGGTAATAATAATTTACAACTTAACAACTATTTTCATTTTTATTTACTGTCGATTTTTTTTTTTTTTTTTTTTTTTTTTTTTTTTGTATTTAAAATAAAATATTTAAAATTAAATAAAACACAGTCAAAAATTTAAAAAATCGACAGTAATTTTCTACGGGGAACGAAAAGAAAAGAAAAGAAAAGGAAAAGGAAAGGGAAAAACAAAAAAAAAAAACAAAAAGACAAGTCAAAAAGTGTAAAAAAAAAAAATTTAACGGACGCCTTAATAAAAAGTCTTGGAAAATCCCCATTTCGAAAAGGCGCTTTGTCATAATCGATAAGTAAAACAAGTTTTAAAAAACAGAAAAGGAAAAGAAAATGAGAGAAAATTGAAATTCATTATTTTCTTACACGGTTTTGAAAAAAAATGCAAAAAAAAAAAAAAAAAAAATGTAAAAAAAAAAGATTTTTCCGGAAAAGGAAACGATATGTAGAATTTTCAGCATTAAATCGTAGCGTTGCGTCGAAAACGAATAAACAAATTCCCTTATTATTATTATTATTATTAATATTATTAGTTTTAAACGCCGATTATTTCATTTATTTTTAATGCTGCAAATTCTATAACGGTTTTTTTTTTTTAAATAAACAGTTTTTTCAAAATAATAATGTTTGATGGTCAGCCGCAAAAACGTGTCAAAATTAATTCTCATATTTAATTAGGAACGACTGTAGAAAATTCCTCATTTAAATTAAATCGAAAAATACTCGATTATTCCTTTTTAAATTTCTGATAATCTGTAATCATTGCTAAATAGAAAAAAAATTACAAAACGAAGCAAAAAAAAAAAAAAAAAAAATTAACTTTACGTAGAAAGAAAGTAAGTAAAAAAAAAAAGTTTTAAAAACATGACGCCCAAATAATTATAATAATTTAAAAAAGAAAAAAATTCAATGAATTTCATACGCGTGTAATTTTCCAAAAGAAAAGTATCGAAAAATAATAATTCAAAAAAAAAAAAAAAAAAAGAAAAAAAGCTTGCCAAATCGAATAAGCTAAACAAGCTAAAAACTTGAAAGAAAAAATCAAAGGAGGAGGCGGGGGAAAAAAATTTAAATTTTTCGTTTCCGATTCAAATTCAGCCGACAATCAAACATTAAAAGTTGAAACAAAAAAAAAAAAAAAGATTAAATAAATAAAAATAAAACATGGAAAGTTTCGCAATACTCTTTTTCCTGTCGATATATCGATAGTCAATCTTTTCGATAAAATATCGACTTTAAATCGTCGTCATAAGGTCACAAGGTCGGAAAACTACCCGGTCGACGTACAATATTTACATAAAAAAAAAAAAATAGAATGATTGCTTCCTTGTAAACTTTTCACATCTATATAAAATAAATAATTACAATGAGTTTAACACAAAAAAAAAAAATGGAGAGGAAAAGAAAGAAAGAAACAAAAAAAAAAAAAAAAATTTTTTTTCTTTTTTTTTTTTTTTTTTTTGTAAAAGCTTACGGAAACGGAAGTCATAGAGTAACCAACCATCACTCTCCATATAAAATATGTATGTATAATTAAAACTTTTTACACTACACTCCTACCTACTTACTTACATCAGAAGAAGGATATTTATATGTATATATATATATATATATATATATATATATATATATATATATATATATATATATATATATATATATATATATATATATACCACGATAACGTTATTATTCAATTACCATAAAGCATCTAAAGCAAATAAATAAATAAATAAAACTTTTAAAGACTAAATCGTCGAAAAAGACAAAAAATAATAATAATAATAATAATAATAAAAACATTTAACGAATTTCTGTAGCAAAGAAAAAAATAAAAACAACAACAACAACAACAGCAGCAGCATGCAAAAATCGTGCTTTTTGTTTTTTCAATACGCATTTTAACAAATAATATATTTATATATAAATAAATAAATAAATGAAATAATGAATATGTCATGCTGAAGAGTGAGTGAATAGAGTAGAATAATAATAATAAGGGAAATTTTCCAGCATGAGAGAGATAGAGAGAGAGAGAGAGAGAGAGAGAGAACATGCAAAACAGCGTTTCGTCATTTTTTTTTTCTCTTTCCTTAGTCAATAATTGTATTGAACACAACAAAAACGAAATTTAAAAAAAAAATTTTTTTTTTCGGATTGTCAAATAAATAAATTTATGGAAAGCAAATATTAAAAAAAAGAAAGAAAGACGGAGACAGAGACAGGTATAGAAAGAAAGAGAAAGACAGACAGAAAGAAAAGGAGAGAGAGAGAGAGAGAAAAAAAAAGGGTCGAGTGGAAAAAAAAAAGGGGGGGAAACAAATTTTTCTTTTTTTCCAACCACCATCACCATCACCACCACCACCCCCACCTTACCTTTTCTTTTTTTTTTAATTTCGGCTTCGTGTTCATCCACAGCTGCTCCTAATAACGTGAAAATAATACCGGCCTGAGAATTTACACCCACGGCAGCTACCAACATTTTTCCACTTCCTTCCATGACGTGAGTTCCTGTTACAAAAAAAAATTATTTTTAATTATTATTATTATTATTATTATTTTTTTTTTTTTTAAATGTCACGTCACGTGTGTGATGACGTCGTGTTTAAAAAACTGTAAACAAAAAAAAAAAAAGATAAAGACCACGCCTACTTTCCCTTTAAAATTCAAATGTGATCAATAAATCTAAAATTATGATAGCGTATTTTTTTTTTTTTTTTTTTGTAAAAAAACATTTCCCTGGAAAATTTTAATTAAAAAAAAGAAAAATGAAAACCAACCTGATAACACCATCGGGTCAATATTTTCACCCTTTTTAACATGATCTGATTCTCCCGTCAGGGATGATTCGTCAACTTTTAAATCGTTACTCTGTATGAGAATACCATCAGCAGGAAGCAAGTCTCCATATTTAATCTGGGAGAAAAAAAAAAAAAATTAATTAATTAATTAATATTAATTTTCGTAAAAAAAAAAAAAAAACTTTGACGTCATACCTGACAAATATCACCGACGACTATATCACCAACGGATATTTGTTTCACTTCGTTCTGTCGTATAACCGAAAATTTATGCTCCCCTTCTATCCGCGATTGTAATCCGCGGAATTGACGTTCTTTTTGATAATCGTTAAAGGCGGTGACAATAACGACTACTATAACAGATATTAAAATAGCAAGGCCTTCTATCCAGCCCGTTTCAGCTTCACCTTCATCCGCACCTGGACCTAAAAAAAAATCGTACGACAAGAAAAAATTAATTTCCAACCTCTCAAATAATAATAATAATAATAATAATAATAATAATAATAATTAAAAAAGATTAACTAAGCAATGTGGTTTACATCAAGCCGCAAGCGCAATTAAATGCTACGAATATAATATTAATTGTAAAATGAATGTAAATTTTGCTATGGGAAAAAAAGGTTACAAACATAGGGATAACAAACTACTTCCTATTTTTCTTTTTTTTTTTTTTTTTTTTTTTTACAAAATTGCTAATGTGTTCTTTAATTATTTGGGTTTACTACTACTTCGTGTAATTACAAAAAGCGACGAAAATATAAATAAAAAAAATTTATTATTATTATTATTTTTTTTCGATATATAATTTTAAGAATATCTCGGAAGAATATATAGATATTTTCAAACCGGGATTCGTTTTCAAACAAGTGTAAACTTGAAATAATTTTCCAACTCGAATCTAATTCTATACGATTCTATTTCACAAAAGTGAAATTCAAATTCAAACCGGATATAAATAAATAAATAAACGCAAGTTTGAAGAAATCGTCAAGCGGTTAATTCTATTATTAAATTTTACCGGTAACAAAACATTTCGAATACGATGACGTACAAACAAGTCTCGACTGAATATTTACAACTAAGGGGTAGGTAATAAAAATGATGATGATGATGATGATGATGATAAAATTAAATTTCACACTCTAAGATTTTCTTCACACTCTCCTCACGTCGTTTTTCCACTCACCCCCCCAAAACAAATATCGACGGAAAATTTTGTCATCACAATTTTAAACTCATTGCAACACTTTTTCAAAAACCCCTTAAATTCGATTCCACTTAATTTATTAAAAAAAAAAAAAAAAAAAAAAAAAAAAGAGATAAAAAGAAAAAAAAGGGAAAAAAAATCCCGAAAATTTTCAATTTAATTTAAAGTTTGCGGAGAGAGAGAGAGAGAGAGAGAGAGAGAGAGAGAGAAAAACGCATGCAGGAAATGATGGATGAACTATAAAATATTACATGAAAAAGGTTTTTTCTTTTTTTTTTCTTTTTTTTCCTTTTCTTTCGGGAAAACTCCCCCCGAAAATGAACGAGAAAAATTTACATTTAAAGAAAAGTTCCAAAAAAAAAAAAAAAAAAATCACGCAAACGTTCAACATTTTTTCAACCCCTTTTTCAAACCGAAATTATTTGATTTAATGAAATAAAATTAATTAAACAAAAGTCGCAACAATAATAATAAACCTTACGGGGGAAAAAAAAAAAATGGCGGCAAAAACTTGAAATTTTCCTTCCTTTTTTTTTTCTTATTGATTAAAACCCCCTAATATTTTAGCCCCCAAAAAAAAAAAAAAGCACTAATGAAACGAATTTTATTTTTGCTGACCATCGATAATTTTCCTTATTTTTTCTCTCTCTCTCTCTCTCTTAATGACAAAAAAAACTATTCGCTAACATTTTTCCAATATTCAAATATTTTATCGATTAAGTTTTTTTTAATAATAATAATAATACTAATTACCTTGTTAGCGCCATTATAATTTTAAAGTTTGAAAAAAAAAAAAAAAAAAAAAGTTTTTCTTTTTTTCCTGATGAAGCAAGAGCGGTAATGCATTATTAATTTCCTTTTTTTTGTATATATATATATATAAGTCGTCACACTTCGTTATTAATTCTCGTGAAAGGAGAGGGGGAGAAGGGAGGGAGGGAGGGAGGGAAAAAAATTAAAATAATGAATAAGAATATTAAAATTAACTTTAAGAAAAACTTTTTAAAACTCTTTTTTTTTTTTTTTTTTTTTTAAAAATTATGAATAAACAAGTCGTAAATGCCGGTTGCTTTTTATTATTATTATTTTTTTTTTTCAACACCCCTCCCCTTACCTCCCTTTTTCTCCCCGCCTTCCCTTCCGTTTATAAAGAAAGAGGAGAGAGAGAGAACCGTTTCGTGCACAAATTATAATCAAATCTCAAGGGGGAGAAAAAAAAAAAAAGAAAAAAAAACCAGGAAAACCTAACGCGCTAAGCTCGAGTTGAAAAAAAAAAGCTGTAAAATAAGTAATTTTCTTTTTAATTACTTTTTTTTTTCCCCCCCTACCGGTTAAATAAAAAAGCAGAAGAAAAATATTTAGGCTGCGAGTAACAATAAAAAAAAAAAAAAAATTAATGAAAAATTATTTAATTTTGTTTATGTGTGAAAAGTCGAGAATAATCGACAAGGGTCGTATAATCTTTTAAAAAGATTTGGTAAAATAAAAATTTGTCCAGTTCAAATTCAGCATTACCAACTTCGGGGAGGAAAAAAAAAAATTTTTTTTTTTTTTTTTTCATTGTCTGATCGTTGCGACACTGACGACGATCGGGGGCAT